TCTGATCAAGTTGATATATATAACTTAAGATACGGTGGCTAATATAAATATTATATGAAAAATAATATACAAGTTTTTTCATACTAAATTATTCTTCAATTTGGTTTAACTAATACAATATATAGTAAGATTATCGAAATATTATCACACGGTGGATGATCATTCGCAGTGAAGTTTTGCCGTGTTACATACAATTATATAATATTAACAATATTATTGTTTCCGACACTGATTGACTAGTTAAGAATTAGTCATTCTTGAGCTGGCTTTTTAAGAACCAGACAGAACTAGTCCGGACCGAACTTTGACGTCCCCATGTGCAAAACCGGTTGTAAGCTATATTTTTATTGATTGAACAACAATTCTGATTGGTTAAATAGATTAATTGGCGTTACTTCCGGCGTCCCTTTCACATACAAAAAAAAAAAACGAAAATTAATTTAAAATCGGATTTGAGTTTATAACCGGATTAGGCATTATAAAACAGACTATTTTAGTGAGTGAATATCACCAAATATCAATGAACTCGTCACCGTTTTACAAATTTAATTCTGATTCAAATTAATCACCATTAACGCTAGGACTTAATTTCCAACGTTCCGCGACAGTTTTTTTTTTTTTTTTATGCATGCAAAAAAAGGGTGACACAGAAGTACAATTGTTGTTATCATCTGATTTTTTTTCAAATAGATATCGATATGCAGCAGGGCGCAGATTAGAGTTAATGTTGATTCTAGAGTAGCGTTAAGACAATATTTAAGTAAAATAAACTTCCTGAGAACAGAGAAACAGTAGTTTCTAATTGTAGTAGTGAATAATAGTGGGAGAATTAAAAAATGTGATTAGAGAAATTTAATTTATGTTACTAATACGTAAAAACGGGTCAACTACATATGATTCTACTTCATTCTGAGGGACCCCAATTTTGGAAAACAATTATTACATTGTGATTACAGGATAATAAACATGGCAACTTTTTTGTTCAGCTAAATAAAACTTATAAATGTAACACAACTTTTTTTTAGATCCAATCTGTACAAAAACTTTATCTATTATCAGGTACGAAAATAAACAGATTAATGTTATCAATTATCTGTCGATCAAAACTAAAGGCATATATAAAAGATCTTTATAAAAGATCTCGCTTAACTTGCATTTTTATTTTATATTTATCGATTCATCATTACATCTCTGTTAAAGTTAAATAGAGTTTTATGAGATATGACTTCACGTAAAGTAAAAGTTCTTGTGCTTCCCGGTGATAATTGTGGCCCCGAAGTTGTTGCCGAGGGTGTAAAAGTACTTAAACTTATTTCTCAAATGAGAACAAAATATAATCATGTTGTAATTGAACTCTGTGAAGAAACAATTGGCGGTGCTGCCATTGATACGACTGGT